TTAAATTTGATTACGTTTACCAGTGAAATTTTTGATGAAAAATACTTTTCCATTTCAAAAATTAAAACTAATTTCATTACATAAATTGCAGGTTAGAGACAAAGAAAAACTAAAAAAATAAAAAAACGAAACTAATTTCAAGCAATGCGGTGCTTTCTAAAAGATTCGCAACATTTGATTGCACTTATTTTCATATCCAAAATTTTTTGCATTGTCTTTGGCGTTGGCAAGCAGCATAAAAAAAAATTAGCGAATGGCATAGGTGTCAGTTAGTGCAACGAAAATTGCGAATAGCAACAAATGTAATTATTTGTTACTTATGTTGGTGTGTAAATTCAAATACATTTAGTTAGTGTATACATATGTATTTGAAGTAATCATTACTTTAGAAATGCTTTGAGTTCGTAGCGCTACTAATGCTATTGGCTAGCATTTTTACTGTGCCTTTGTGACTTTGGGTGCGTCACGCTATGTCATGTCATGCCACACCATTCCACACTGCGCGACGTCACATATCGCAGTCAACCAACGCGCTCGACACGCTGTTGACAGTGAAAGCTTCAATTTAATTAGCGCAAACATGCCAAGCCAACTAAATAAATGTCTAAAAAATTATAATAATGAGAAGTAAAATTGCTGAGAGAAAAATTAGGCATGATATACCTTATGGCGCTGTTGACAAGTGCTTGTCACGTAACTACCCAGTACGGCATAAATAAATAAAGTTTTAATAGAAATATGGTAATTCTGCATCAAATGGGCTATGAATTAGTAATTCAAAGTTTTATAAAATTTAGGAAAATTCGACAAATTTTGGACTTTTAAACAAATTTAATTTTTTTTTTGTGGGGTACGCAGTTTTGTAGCTCACTCAGTTTTCGTATAATAAAGTACAAGTTTTAAGCGGCTATAAACTACCGTTGATTTTTGAGATTTTTTTTTTTTGCTGATGATGTTGCTCATTTTCTCCATATAACGGATGCATGATAGTTTTTTTTTTTTGTATGGGAAAAAATACCGAATAGCACCAGCTGCACATTTTGGTTTAAAGTTGAAAATTTTGGTGAAAAATTGTCGAACTTTCCTAAATTTTGTAAAAACTTTGAATCATTAATTTATTTGCCATTTGATGCAGAACGAACTATATTTCTATTAAAAATTAACGAAAAAAATTTATTATGAAAGGTAATATTTTAAAACTGGGAAGGAAGGTCAGATATGTGTGAGTATGCAATTTTGTAGCCCGTTATGGATATTGTTATAATTATTTTAATCGTTAAAGTTATCGAAGTTGTTATCGTATTTCCTACGTATCTACATAGAGTAGGCGCATTCGTTTTCATTCACCGCGATACCAATTAATATAAACATGCTCAAACCCGTGGTCTCTGTTTTTACAATTATATTATGTAATTTTACCGCTGTTAAATGCTTCATGAATGTATGTATCTTACATGTGAGATGCTATCTATTAAACTTAGGTCTTACAAAATCCACTATACATACATATTTTCAAAAACCCACACTTAAGCCTTCAAAGTGATTGTTTCACTGTACCCAAAAATTTGCTTGAGAAAAAATATCGAACCCATTGATTTACTTATTGAGAAAAAATATTGGAAAAATTGCCTAGTTCTTTGCCACAATAAGTCAAAATGTCAAATTCAACACAATTCACGCGGTAAATATGAAGCATGAAAAATAAACATGTATGCACATTAAGGTGGTCCTTAAAATAACAGCGTTGAAATTTTTTATCGGGAACCCCTTATTTTATTCTACGTACAAAATAAAGGCATCCATGAAAATTTCAAAATTTAAAAAAAAATTTACGGTTTGAATAAATTTAAATTTAAAAAAAAAAATTGACAACTTTGACTTGAAATTTTACATTTGATTTTCGCTGGTTTAAATGGCCAAAACCAAAATTTTTTCAATTTTTTTGCGTAAAAAATAATAATATTTTCGGCCCCTTAAGTTTTGTTTTTCAATTTTTTTGCGTAAAAAATAATAATATTTTCGGCCCCTTAAGTTTTGTTTAAAATTGTTTAATTCTCGTGGATGGTTTATTTTGAACGTAGAAGAGGGTCCCCATGATGTTGATGTTTCAAGGACGCACCCTAGTGTATCTACATACGTATTGGAAAAACCTTGAACATACCGTTGTTCTCAATTTTTTGCGGTTCTCCGGGTTTCCTTTTTTGAATAAATAACAGGTTCACTTTTCAAATGTCAAAAAAACTGAAAAAAACGATTTCTACATACAAACGGCACAAAAGGCCAGACGTGTTTTTTTTCAAACGAAGCAAACAGCCACATGAATTTGGCTGCATTTGGTTGTATGTGCCCTAAGTATGTAGGAACGCTCGCTCAGATAACTGCGGTTGCACTTGTTCCAAACAATTGCAAAATATGTACATATGTAATGAATTTCATGCTCAACAAAACAATCGAAACCGCAATCAAGAGTGTGTGAAAAAATCCTTCAATATATCGCTGTCTAACGTATGTACAAAAATATATATGTCTATAGGTCATTCCATACGCAATTTACACCTCAATGTTTTTTTTTATGTAAAATATTTTTTTTACACTCTCTTTCGAAAAAAGAAGGCACATATTTTTATATTCAAAAATCTCGAAAAAAATCCAAAATTTTGAACTCACAGAGAAGTATATTTTTAAATTTTTTGCAAATTTGTAATAAAAATTTCATTTTTATAACATTTTTGAAATCATTTTTCCGACGGGGTGGGTGTATGATGTATTTTGGAACGTAAAAAAAATATTTCACACCAAAAAACATTTAAGCGTAAATTTTGTATGGAATGACCCATATGAACCACTGCTTTGTGTGCAGGCGATATGTTATAAAATCGACACCGCAAACAGTTAACCTCAATACCGTTCAGCACAATTCAAAACCGCAGCGTCACAGGTCGTCCGAGTGAAGAATTGCATACAAACGGCAATGCTGTTGATGGAGCTGGTGACGTTGGTGGCCAGCCAAGCAAGCACACACATCTACTAGATGAATATATTTATACACATATGTTTTACTTGAAAATGCAAAAATCAAGAAAGTTTACTGAAAAAAAAACAAAACTGTATAATATACAAGCTTTTTCACTTAGACTGCTGCTTTTGTGTTTCAAATTTCCTTTGTTTTCTGCTCTGGCTACTTTCAACAACTTCTTCCACAACAGCAGCTAGTTTTCTTTTCTATGCACTTCTTGCGTTAGGTTACTAAAACTATTTCTTCTTTGTTTTTGTTAACTGGCACATGTGCTTGGCATATGGAATTACTGTCACGCCACAACACCCACCCATAGTCTCACAGATTTCTGCATTGCAAATTTTTGGTTTGTTTCAAAAAAAAAAAAAAAAATGCTGTTGGTGCACCACGAAAGTGGCAGCGATTTCTCGCTCGTGTTAATGCTACCTAACTTTCTTGCTGTTATGAGCATTTTCTTTGGGATATATTTTTTTAAGTTTTTTGTTTTTTTTGGAAGACACGATTTTATCTACATAGCTGCGCTTCTTTTACTTTTCACGATTCTATTGTCTTGCGGCTCACATGTGTAAGTACATACATGGTTTGGTATGCATTTGCTTCTTTCTTTATCCTCAACTTCTTTTGCCGGTATCTGTTTTTTTATTATTATTTTATGGTTTCTATTGTTTTCACTTCATAACTATGTATGCATGGAAATATTTTTACTCGAGGGATTTTTATGTAAACACCCAAATGCTTTCATACTCATATGAGTATAGTATGTGAGCAAATTTCTTTGGCGTAGGTAAATAGTTGTAGTCACTTTCCATTTTTACATTTTTTGTGGCGGGAAAAGTGAAAATTATTTTTTATTGATTCTTTTGTTAACGAAAATCGTATCTAACTAGAATAGTATAGGTGATTTTCTCCTCTTCTGCACAGGCAGTATTGCAATTTGTATCTTTGCATATTTTCCGTACAAATTTCTAAAATCCAAGAAATTTTTGACATATTTTTGTAAGCAAGATAGTATTTTCAGTAAAAATAAAGAATTCTAGATACTTGTAACTATGTATTTCTTAGTGTTTATTTGATTTTATGTGAGCTTGGTAGTTCTATCTTAGAGATGAGCACGGGACTAAATATTCAATCCCGATCGCGCCCATCCCGAAATTCAATTTTTAAGTCCCGCGGGTCCCATATTTCCCGAAATTTATCACTAAGAAAAGTTCACATGTCTTTCAAATTAATTTTAAATAATAAAAAAAATTATAAGAGATCTGGCATCATCCGATTATTTTGTTTGGCTTTTCTGTTCGTTTTCGCCTCAATAAAATATAAAAAATGCTTATTTCATACAACGCTTTTGTTGGAGTGTCGGGAAAAGATTTTGGTCCCGTCCCGTCTATTTTCAAATCTGTACCGTCGGTCTCGCGGGTCCCTATTAGGCAGATTAAGGTTAAATCACCGCCTCCACAATATTGTAAGGCCTGTGAAATGCCAAACATTGCGCCAAAATAAAATTATTTGTGCAAAACTGAGACCTATTGGTATATAGAATTTACAACAAACCATACAAGAAAAACAAAGTTTGCCAGACACCCCTGAGTCTAGAATATTTTTGCAAGGCAAGTTTGTTTTTTTTTCTTTAGACGTTTTCTTTAGACGTCCTTGAATATGAGAGACAATCATCAAAGGAATGCGTACAGCTGCACAGTGGACAATGTTTGACAGATTTTGTATAAAAGTGCTGGAGAAGTAAACATTTGAAAAATCTGTGTTATTACTTTTTAAGTAATAGGGACGCAGGAATATCTTAGGCCGAATTAAAAAAAATATATATACATATGTATGTATATATATTTTTATCACCATACGGGAATTTGGAAATTAAAAAAAAAAACATCAAACTAAAAGTAATGGAGCATATGCATATTCGAAATAAAGTCGACTCTAAAGATATTGACAGCTTTTTGACATAAGTTTCAATGGAATATCTGACGAAAATGCGCCAATATTTTTCTTGGTGATAAATTTTAGATTTTAAAGAGCACCAATTGAAAAAAAAATTACCATCAAATTACATACAAAAAAGTAATATTTTTTGGCGACAAATTCCTGATTTAAAAGCTCTTAAAAAGATTTATCTGATCGTTGAATTCGATTTGCTATCCAAACTCGTATTTTCTATCATCAGAATCGCGAAGAAAAATATTACTTTTAAGTAGTTTAATGGGTTGTACATTTTTTTGTTTGTTTATAAACTCGAGCTCTACAATCAGTTCGAAATATTTAAAAAATTAATCGACGATTTTCCACTCAGCGTTGAGTGGGTTAGCCAGGCAGTAGAAGTACCGAGAGAGATCAGGTCCAGCACAACTGCGTTCCGAGTGGTGCTACAGTCTCAACACCTACCTCTCGCGGCCGAACTCGGGAGCGGCAGAGACTTACCCAAATGCGGGCAAGGTCCTTAATACCTAACACCTCTTCGTGTGCTCCTCCAACCAGCCGACTCTGGCACCAGACCCGAATACCATAAATATCGCAAACTGAATCGCCTCGGCTGCTGTTACTTTTAGGGCCTTTAGCTGTGTCTTGGTTTGAGATTTATCTTCCTTAGGCTCCTGGCTCCTACTCAGAGCTGGTGGACGTACGATGATGTACCACTGAACGATTTCACGATTGGTTAAAGAGCTCTAAGCTTCGATTTCGATTTGCGACCAATCTTGTCGTTTGGAAATCTGGTAAAAATGGGCGCACAGCTCAAAAATAGTCTATTTGCAATTAACCAACCCCTGTACATTAAAAAATTTAACTGAGGATATTTTGTCTTCATTGCTTGGCCAGCCTTTAGCACCAATATACTTTTTATCCAAATCTTTAATTCCTCTTCAAAGGCGTCTCTCTCACCCCTACTTTCATACAAAAAAAACAAAATTGTAAATAGCCAAGCTTCATTAAGCGGATTATTTCCCAGTTCAATCGAAAGCCAAACATTATATCTGTTAGGGCAACTTAGTGCAAAAGTGCATTGCATTCAGTAATGGAATGCCATCCAATTAAAAGTGAAATTGTCAATAATAAATAATCAACAATGCCAAAAATGACCTCCATAAATCATTATAATGGTGTACTAGATACACACGTACCTGCATACATATACAATCAACCAAATCCCATGCCTTATCGCAAATCAGCGTGCCACCGAAAAGGGCTTTTAATGAAGCTTCAAATCAAATGATTTTGCGATTAATAAATGAAAGAGAGAAAAGAAATTAATAAAAGGATTGATAAAAAAACTTTAACCCAGACTTTGCTTCATTGTACCGTTGCCAACGGTTATTTTTTTAATGGAATCATACGAATGCAATTTATTGTCAATTCAAGCTTGAATATTCGACTGCATCTGAAGAAATGAAAATTACAACAGCAGGAAACTAAAGAGAGAAATATGCAGAAAAATGTGTTAAGTGGGGAAATGTGCAGCAAACAGCAACATCTGTACATACTTGAGGCAGCTGCAGCAGCAGCAATAAAAAAGCATGCAACAAGCGCTTTGCACCTGTAATGAGAGAGCCAACAGAAAATGTCAAAGCGCGTTTGCAGCAGTGATGCCAGACATTCTCTGTTAAAAATCCCACGAAAATGGGGAAAAAATCCCTCAATTACCCACATCTTGAAAATTTATCCCACATCATTCCCAACGAATTTAAACATATACATGTTTCAGTAGTAAGGAAGTAAAATTCATATAAAATAATAATAATAGTTTGACGCTTACACATATGTGCTTTTCCTCCAATTTGTGGCGGTCCCCTTGATGTTGTCACAACAAAGGGGAGGGGCCTACAGTTTTACGCCGACTCCGAATGGCGAGTGTATTTTTATGAGAAGCTGTTTTTCATGGCAGGAATACACTCGGAGGTTTGCCATTGCCTGCCGAGGGCCGAGCGCTGTTAAGAAAAAACACCTTTTTCTGCATTTTTTTCACTCATTCATTTTTTCACTTTCATTTTTTTGCTCATTCACTAAGGGCCTAAAAGAATTTTTTGGTGACTTTAAAATTGAAGCTCATTCATGTGCTATTTAACATTTCATCAGATAATTTGTTCCGCTTTTTACATGAAACACCAGTTACAACTGAAAAGATTCTTTCTTACTCAGCGCTTGAATTGGTTAACGTAAGAAAATTTTCGAAATTGTCCTTATACTTTTTAGCAATTATATACCATTTTACTCCACATCACATCTTCAGAACGATTAATTACGTAAGAATGTGGAATATTCTTGAATTTTGATCAATTATGCAACAATAACGGCGTCAAAAGAAAATCCCTTATTTATATGAAATGTCCCTTTTTTCCCTTTTAATAATTTTTGATGCAAAATATCCCTCAAATAGGGAAATTACCCACAATCTGGCATCACTGGTTTCCAGTTGTAGAATATGTAAGCAAAATGAGAAAAAAGCGAATGGCAAGAAGAATATACAGCAGCAGCAACAACTACATATTTTGAAGCGCAGAAGTGAAACGTTGGTGTACTTGGCCTGATGTTGTTGACAATCGAATGCGCATCAGCAACAGCAGCAGCAACAGCAACAACAACGACAGCCGAAAGAGCGCAGCCACCAAGGGGAAGGGGACTTTGTCAACACTTGTTGTATTTCAGTGAAAGTTTTGCATTCACGTTTGTTATTTTTTTTTTTGAAATTGTAAAGTGGAAGTTAATCAATGAATGGCAAGGCAAGTGAATGTAAATGCAATGCGCATAGGTGATGGCAACTACCTACATAATGAAGTCATTGTTTTTGTAGGAATTTCACACTCAACAATTTGGTGGTGATTTTTTTTTCTAAACTCTGGCTGCGCATACATAGGCATGTTTGTAGAAAATAGCGCACAAAGGGGACAATCAAAAATAATTTTACAAATTTTTATTGCTTGAAAGTGAATTGAGAATTACCTGAAAATTTATGTATGGGAAAAACTTACATGGGGCATCCGAACAGTCTGCAATGTGGTCATCAAAATATTAATACCATTAAAAAAAGATGAAGGTGCTAAAAGTCAATAGCAGCATAAGACAAAATACATATATCTTTATTTTGACGATTCTGTTTTATGCGTACTTACATATATACAAAAGTTTGTATTTCTTGCGCTGATATTTTTTTTTATAAGTAAAAGCAAAAGTGTGTACGAGGTGACCCGTAAAAAGTGAATGCAGTTAGGCGATAGTTGATCAGCTTTTAATAAACGTAAACATTTCATACAGATTGTTGGTACGCACACACAAAAATGAGGCTTTGGTAACCACACACCCTGCAGGAATAAATTGTGAGGGACACCATGGACGACGAAAACACATCTGAAGAGGCCGACTGTTCGAGAGAAAGATTCTGCGGGAAATTTATCTTGGGAGATTTGTCTTGGGGATACAAATGATCCATCCCTGAAAGTTTGGAATGCGGTACCCGCTTTTGGTAGCAGAGGGAAAGAAAGGCCTACTCTGTGATTGAAATACTAGATGCAGAAGAAACTGCTTCACTTAGCATGGCAAAAAATCGTCCAAGAATGTAAATACGTTCTGAGCAATGATTGTTGATGAATTTCTTTAATATATTGCCATTACGAGAAATAACTAGCACAATAATCAATTATTTAGGTCTATATTAATTAATTTCCACTCATTAAAAAAATTGCCACTCTTATCCACTTGTAACACAGCTTCAGGACTTAAGGATACATCTTTTTCGTTCGTAAATTCTCAACTATTTAGCATTTGTCTGCAGCTCCTCCTGCGTGAAGTTCAATTTAACGTTATGATTTCAAATGTAAAAATGAAGAAAATAAAGCATATGGGTCATTCCATACAATATTTACACCTCAATATATTTTTTGGGTTGAAATATATTTTTTTACATTCTTTATCGAAAAGAAGAAGACACCTATTTTTTTATTTGGTCTTGATATTCGAAAATCTCAAAAAAAAACAAAATCCCGAAAATTTTGAACTCACGGATAAGTTTTTTTTTTTTTAATTGTTTGCAGTTAATAAACTATTTGTCGGAGAAAAGTTAAGGTATTAAAATGTGCGTAATTACTTCGGCTTTCCATGAGAGTATGACATAGATTAAAATAAATAAATTTTTGGATAAAAAAATCGCATTTGTTTTTTATTAACTTCATCATGTTTGATTTTTAATTTTTTCAACTTGAATAGCTGTCAAACTTTATGGAGTAAGCAGTAAAAATTTGAGAATGGAAACACCAAAACTCTAGAAGTTGCGAGTTTTTTCATACCAGCGTACATAAAGTTTATACTAAAGTTGAACTGAAATAAAGATAATAAGGGCATTTTTAAATTTATGTCGTTTTCATCTTTTACATGGAATGACCCTAAATATATTTAAACTTGGAAAAGGTGAAAAATCTTTACTCTAAAGACGAAAGATTTTGGAAATTTTCACTTAAATAAAATTTGATTTTTTAATTATTTTAATATTTCACTAAAGCAACTGATTAATTTAATTACAATTTTCAATTACAACAGGATGGTAACTTTTCTCCAAATGTTTTCAAAAAAAGATTTCTTAAACATATTAACTTCACATCATTTTGTATTGTTTCATTTAACTTATTGATATAATTTAAATGGATTTTTAAACTGGTGGCAACCCTAACCAAAAATATTTCTACTAATTTATTTATCTTATGAAAAATTGAAATTTGGGTTTTAAACAGTTGGTAGCATTTTTCAAAATAAACCTATATTGCAATAATGTAGCGTTGCTTATTAATCAAACTGAATTTAAATTTTTGAATAGCTGGCAATCCTATTCGAAATGTTTTCGTGATAACGCTTTTTTAAATCTTTGTCGTTTGACAACCATATTGTGAATTTTTTTTTAACTCATGTGGAATGGAATTTTACTTTTAAAGCAGGTTGTTATTCAGGTCGTAAGCTATCTCACAAACGTTCACATTTATAATGGATCGTCTAAATTATTTTTGAAATAGATACAGTTTTCCTAAAGCGTCTTTCGTTTGATTTCCATATTAAAATATTTCTTTTAACTTTTTAGTCAAATTGATTTAAACTTTTTGATCAGGTGGCAACCGTCTTACCGATTTCGTTTGATACCTTTGATTGTTTTATTAAACAAACGGTCAAAATATTTTCTAAATAATATTTTGAACTCCTTTCGTAGTAATATTTTATTTAATATGTCAATTAGTTTATTTTAAAAAAGGTGGCAACTCTCTTAAGAATAAGCTGTATATATTAATGCGGGTTATGGCCTGATTGTATGCCAAATCTCATTTAAATCCGGCCAGACGTTTTAGCATGAAAGAGCGACAAACATAATCACTCACGCATTTATAATATTATTAGGATTATATTAAATATAAACAACGGGATTACAAAAATTAGGAATTCTTTGAAGTTTTAAAATGTTAAAACTCTCATTCCACATTTACATACATTCGAGCATATCTCTACAGGGTCTTTATGGCACACATGTGCAAGTCAAGTAAACTCTTTTAATTTTGGACGCATCATCATCATCTTTAGCAGCACCAACAAAATCTCGGTCACTTACACGCTTGTTAGGCGCACACGAGTGCCTTCATTCCATTTAAGCTGGGGTGCACAAAAAAGAAGAAGAAGAATATACAAATTACAAAAATTTATCAGTGCCACTTCTTCGCTTCGCTGGCATTCTCTTTCTCTACAATGCGTTTTTGATTTGTTCGAATCTTACGATACATATTTTACTGCTTCGAGCGCAAACAGTGCCGGCCACTTGAATAGCGACCGCTTTTGATCCTCAGTATTGACAGTTTTCCTTTCGTTTATTTAATATTCATTCATTTATTTGTAAAAAAGTTTAGCACATTCTATAACAAAAACCATGTAAAGCGGATTTTCAAAGTTTATACAAAATTGATAATTATTCAACAAATTGGAAGAAAATGAGCAACACCCTCGACAAAAAAAAAATTTTAAAAATCTGCGGTAATTTTTAGCTACCTGAAACATGCACTTTGTTATACTAAAATTGAACGGGCTACAAAATCTGCATACCGAAAATTTTTCGAAAAAAATCTAAATAAAAAGTTTGGAATTTTGATGAAAATTTTTTTAAGTTTGATTCATTTTTATGAATTTTGTACAAAGTTTGCAAGAATGATGTATATAGTTTTTGTTATAAAATTAGCTATATTTTAAATGAAAATTAACGAAAAAGATTTATGATGGAAAATATTTTTATTATTGTGTAAAAACTAAATTACGAATACTTCTGTGAGTGACTGTATGCATGTTGGTTTTACAAGTATATGTTGGCATGTGCGCACACAGCTTTCAAAAGTCTTGTTATGGTACATACATAAGTAGATATAATTGATTTTTGATTTGAATAGTAAAAGTTTACGACGCCGCACATTCGAACTTCAATCAAATTTGTATTTTACCATTTGTAATGTGTGCTACATTCATTTGCAAATCGTTATTTTTTTTTTTGCAATTCGTTGTGGTTTTATTCAAATTTTTGATGTATGACTTGCGGCATCTTTACTTCACATTGTACTACATATACTAATCTGGCAATTGTAGAAATTTACAAACAATTTTATGTATGTACGTATCTATGTAGGTAATCAAATTTAGCTGGAATTGACTGGAAATAGGTAATTTGGTTTCATTTTCTACTACTTGCAATTGCTGCTATTTATTAAACATACGCTGATTTCTTTATCTTGAAAAGACTATGCCGAAAATACCGGCAATAACATTAACCTCAGAATACATTAATTTCAAAATGTTATTGAAATGAATTTCTAATCCATTCGCCAAGTCATTCATCCTTGTCTTCTATTGCAGGCAGTTTGCGGAGCTTAATGTCTTAAAACACACACCAATCTCTTAATTTCCTTGTGGTCAGCGAAATCTTTTCTGCTAAAAAGCCACACACGCAGCCTAAATTTAAAAACTATGCCCACCAACACACAGCCGAATCTTTTTTGCTAGTTATTCGCATCAAAACATGTTCTGCGCATGCGCACAACACTACTAGCTTCATAGGCTGTAGTTCAGCTTACATTCTACCACTTTTTGACAAGTCGATTTCCCCACATCAAGTGAAATTGCTGCAATGTGAGACATCGCTGAAAAAAAGAAAGAAAAAAAATTACACGACACATAGATAGCCTACTCTTTTATTTGAAGTCGGTTAAAATTCCTACTAAATAATTTTAAAAAAAATTTCACTAGACTGCACTTACATGCTAACAAGATTACACATTCCTCTCTTGCCCCTACTAGGCATGGTAAGCAGCTACACAGTACCTTGGCATGCTGTGATTTGCAAAATTTTATGACAATCTTCCTGAGGTTACCTGCCGCACTTGTTTTTGTTGACTACATATATGTACATAAATATACTACTCGTCGTTCTGCTTGTCAAACATGCATAGATATGAAATTTTATCCGCTAAAGTGATACAGTTTCGACGATGATAAAAATAATAATAAAATAATTATATGCTTATGCGTGGTAGGTATGTTATGTAGCATGCATGTACGTTAGGGTGGTGCAAAAAGAGTAAAGTCGGAATTTTAATGCTCTCACGATTGTTCTATATTGAAAAAAGTATACCCCCATTTTTTTATTTTGAAATAAAAAAATATTTAGAGGTCGCTTAAAGCGCTCAAAGTTTTCCATATATTTTATATGGAAAAAAAAAACTTTTCGTAGAAATGGTTATAGAATTCTTGAAAATCAATATTTTTCGATTGGAAAACTCAGGTTCTCTTCAGAACACTTTTAAGATTTTCAAGAATTCTATAACGTTTCTACGAAAAGTTGTTTTTTCCTTATATAAAATACATGGAAACTTTGAGCGCTTTGAGCGATCTTTAAATATTTTTCGATTTTAAGATAAAAATGGGGGGTATATTTTTTCGGTATAGAAGAGGCCTAGGGGGTAAGAGCATAAAAATTCCGACTTTACTATTTCACATGATTTTTTGCACCACCCTAATGTACATACTAAGATATGCACAGGTGTATTCTACTCAATGGCAGTGCTGCATTTCACTGTCTTTAGACTAGTTGGTTTCCATTTCACAGATCTTTTGCTTTTGTGTTTGCCATTGTTTTTTCTCTTTATTCATTTCCATTCTAGAAAAGAAAATTTACTCGAATTACTTTAATTTGTTTGTGAACCTGTGCAACAGCGGCTTAGCTGACAGCTTTCCATGATGTAAATCAGTAGATAAATTGTAGCTTCATAGTGAAATTTTGCTAAGAATTGTACAACAGAGATGCAATAGGAGAAATTCGCTAAACTCGGTCGTGTTGACGGTTTCCAAAGCCTAAATCTTCTTCAGTCCAATTTTGCACTGAAATATGTAATAAATCTATGCAAAAGTATGCGCACTAAAGGAAAAGTAAAGCGGAGTAGCTTCATGCCTCAAAATTAAACTATTTAACCTAAATTCAAAATATTTATATATATATATTTTTTTTTTCATTTAAAAGATCGAACAAATTCATCATTTGAGAAGGACCCTTAAAAATCGTAATTTTCTGAAAAAAATCGTCAATCGTCAATTCAGCTTTACCATGTTTTTAGTGGACAAAACTTAATTATTTGCTTTGCAAAATCAACGACTAACCTTTTCATGATCTGAACGATGAAAGAGGAAGGTAATTCTGGACATTAGCAATTAAGCATATCCATTCTGGATATAAAATCCTGGGTGATTTAGGGGCTACTTTCGGCAGTTTGCTTTCCATAACTGTCAGCACAACCTTCGCTCAAATATAGATAGATCCGGCAAAGCCCTTAATAGGATTGAGGTAGGGGCTATTTTCCGCACATACAGACTTGTCCTAGAACATTATTTTTGCGGCGTAGTGGCTTAGGTTCGTAAAGGTACTAAAAACTTCGTAGTTAACAACTTCGACGTACTAAATCCCCCTAACTGTAGAAGGCATTTTTTATGACCGTTAGTGTATACATTAGGGCGGGTCAATTTGTATGGAAGATTTTTTTTACTATGAGCGTATAGCACAGGTCGATTCCACGTGTGATTCTAAGCAAATTTTCCAAAGAAACTATGGGTTTAAGGTAAGTTTGGGGATAGTAGTCGAGAGTTCTAGCTTTAATCTAAGCCAGATTAGATTGTAAGGTTCTATGACCTTTTGTTTTTTTTGCTAGAGCTTCTCAAATATTGCAAAAAACGCGATTTTTTGATAATTTGACTAAGTTTACGGATTCGTAATCAGAATGAAAAAGTCTATCAAAACAGCTTTAACATTTTAGGTTACAAAATTGTTTCCCATTTTTGTTGGCCTGTGTAATTAAAGTTTCTGTAAATTTTTAAACCTTTTTCGCATTCTGTGCTCTCTTGTAACCGGTAAATTTGGTTACCATCTCATAAGCTGGTAACAAAATATTGCCCCATGAAATATGCAATACAATAATTTCCACAAATCTTCATAGCTGAATTGCTGAATATTTTCACTGCATTACCAACGTACCTATAATGGCGGTGACAAGAAGTGGTAACATTTTTTGGTAATCAAATTTTCCGGTCACAAAATCTCCGGTAACGCGCAGGAAAACCTTTTCCATATATAAAAACTGCTTTCCCATATTTTACAAGGCTCAGATTATTTTATTAAGCTATTAAAAGAAATTTAATTTCTTAAGCGATCTACAGTGGTGTTTTCCCCTGAGTCGATGTATGTTTCGACTTACTTTCCTATTCTCTAATTTAAAAAAGCCTATTTCGCTATTTACTTACTCTATTTATGTCTCGAATGCCTTTTACATTTACAAAGAGTATTAAATTAGTTTGACTCATCCTTGTCATATAATTCATGCCATTTCATCTCTAAACTTCACTCGAACGACAGTTATTAGGTTGCTTTAAAGTTCAATAACTCAACAATAGAGTAAAAGTCTCGTCTAGCTTTCATGTTATCCAATGTATGTATGTATGAATATATGTAAATACAATATTTGTGTTTACCCATTGATGAAAAAATTATCTTTGAGCCACTCTTTTCTTGTACGGCGCTTTTGTTGTTGGCCCACAACGACGCCCAATTGTCTGTGAAATGAAATTTTCATATTTGTACATATTGTGAAGATGGCCGTAATGTTTTTAAATACATACATATATACATAAATGCATGTGCATGCATATACATATCTGTAGGTTTGACCAGCCAATTTCTGTCCACGCTACGCTGACGCTTCATAAATAAATTTGTGACTTTTGAAAATATTTTAAACAAAAACATTTGAGCGTGTAAAAATGTGCCTACAATTTTACTATGAAAGCATTTAACATTAATTTAAGTTAATTGAGAATACAAGTAAAAGTTTGTATAATAGTTTGCTATATTTAAAAAAAAAAAAATGACACAACTAAAATACGTTTCACTCTAAACAAGTAAATGTTTTTTAAAGTATTTAAAGTTTGACCTCAAATCATGTGTGCTAGTATGTATGAAGCATTGTATACATAAACATGTTCAACTTTTCGCATCGCACGTGCTGCGTGTCGCACCGATTAGCATACTCACGTGGAATATTTACTAGAAATAGCCATTTCGCTTACATACCAACCATTTGTTGCACGTACTTATGTACATAAGTGGTGTCATAAACGTGTCGATTCATCTATGTTGACCCGTTTTTGTGACGATGTCATGGAAAAAAAAAACAATTGTAAGCCATTCGCTCTCACTTAATCGGTGTTCAATTTATCATAAATTTTTTTTTGTTTTGCAAATTGGTTGTGTTTTTATGCATACATACTTTATGCATTACATACTTATTTAAATATATAGAGGAAAATAGCTAAGAGAAAAAA